CAGGTTTTAAGCTAATTATAGAATGGGCTAAAATCTTCAGTAGGGGGTAAATTGTGCCCTGTATTTTCATCATGGGAGTGTCCTGATCTTTCCTGTAAAGCATCTGGTGTTGGCCTCTTTCCTGATATTTAATGCTTTCTCTCTCCAGGCCTCAAGAAGTCTCATCTCAGCCACTGACTGCTTTGACCAAGATAGTTATTGGGGTTTTAAACAAAATAATCCCTACCCAATAGCCTTAAAATCCTTGTCACTTATTCAATATTGCCAGACATTTGTTCACACAAGATTTACCTCATTAGAGCATTTATTTTTCCAGGCACTTTCACAAAGACTTCCTGGACTTATGACAGAAGAGCAAATACCTGCTGTGCTGCCTCTATTGCACTTGGTAGAGTGTTCCTTCCATCACCTTCCTTGTTCCTTCCATCACCTCATATTTCTGATGATCTAATTTCTGGCATTTCAGTGCTCTATATCTTTCCTCCTTCTACAGCCCACATTTAAGGAAAAAAACATTTAATTGACTTTTCTTCCTTCTGGTCATCTCTCTCAGATTTCAATCAATAATCAAACTAATTTCTCTTTTTTAATTAAGCAAAGTATCAGAAGGTTCCCAAATAAACAAGAATATACCTGCCCTTCTTTTTTTCTTATCTAAGCAAACAGATCGAGGCAGGAATAGTTTTCAGACTTGAATAAAGCTTAGACATACATTATTTGGATTTTATTTTTGAAAGCTTTGCATACATAATTAAGTCCTACAGAACTTATTACTACTATAATTCACTATACATATGTCTAATTTCAACAGCAAAACAAAACAAAAAAAAAAAAAAAAAAAAAAAAAAAGGAAAACCTGAGTTAGTATTAGAATTCAAGGAACAGCTTTAGTGCATATTCCTCATCAGAAGCATGGGGCACGCACCTGGTAGTGTGAAGCTGTATCTGTCTTTGTAAACTAAAGTTGCTCAAATGGCTTGGAGGCCAGATGGCTTGGAACAACCAGCATGTAATAGATATGATCTTGTTTAGCCTCCAGAAGATGACATCTGCCTTCAGCCTACCTGTGGGAAGCAGTTTCAGGATTTTTTCATCCAACAAACTGCAGCCGGGAATGCACAACTCCTTGTAATGCACAAAATCCACACCACATCATTTTCTGACATCTTCCTCTCACATGTATTTCAGCCCAGTAGATGGAAAAGTTGCTGCAGTAGAATTTGATGATAACGTTGCAGCTATAGATTACACAGCATCTTGCCTGGGTCTGACACAGGTGGCACAGGCCCTTCCAGTGGGCAGCTATGAACCCCTAGCCTGTGCACAGGTGAGCAAACAGCCTAAGGGGAACAAGGCCTCAATAGACCATCAAAACCCAGGTGGCCATGTGCCTTCCTTGTCTATCATCTGGGCCGTTTCAGAAGATGTTAACATGGCAGACATTAATACCATAGATAATCTGCATTGTGAAGGCAGAAAGTAGAGAACTCTGTAATGGAAAGAGCTTGCATAAATGACTAATGTGCTCAATTAATAAAGCTTTATTTTCTAAGAGTACAAAACTTGATGTATGGCTGATGCTCAAACTATAAAATCACATCTTAACCAAACCCTTAAATCTGCACTTCATTGTGTTTCAAACTTGACTTTTTCTGTTGAGGTGCTCTCTCATTTCAGTTAGTTGCAGCCTCATGCCTTAATACAAATGGTTGCTAATGCCTCAGTTTCATAATTTTCAAAAGGGAATCTCTCTGATAATCACAATAATGTACTTCGTATCTCTCATTTTTGTTCAGAAAAGAACCTGGGTTATCTAATGTAGAATGTGGAAAATCTCTCCACTTTGGATCCTTCCAATTAATTTTGATTTGTTCTGGAGAATTTAAGATTGTATTTTTAGGGTGTTATTGTGGGTGAGAATATAATCTCACTGTATATACCTGACAGCATTTATTATCAGAACATAAGCTCCCAGACCAGCATTTTCATCTACGGTACTGAAGAGTGATTAATAAGGTTTATAATGTAAATGGTTTAGAAGATGGTTGAAGAGCAACAGCAGAGCTTTATTGCCTTTTTTTTTTTCCAATAAAAGCTCTCAAGATTGACTTTCTGGAAGTCCAACATTAAATAAAAAGGACCAGAATTAGAATTAACCCTATGATCACATGCTTGTTTCTGATGGATGACAGAGCCTTGTATTTACATCAATTTCAGTCGAAGGTAATATCAAGAAAAAATGATTTATCACTCATATGAATATCACGCAAACTGTACACCCTAGAGTATTGCTAGGCCTGAGTTGTACACTATGGAATTTAGGTCAGATGTATGGTCAGGATGTCCTCTTTACACTCTCCCCTCATAGTAATACACATTGATAAGATCCTCCCTCAGTTTTCTCCAGGATGAAGAGACTCTCTCAGACTTTGCTTCTTCACTGCCACCATGAAAATCTCCCCAAATTTGTATCCAAGGCAGATTTTCCTATCCAAACTTTGATGATTTTATGAGGCCAGAAATGTGAATCTTTAGTTGGAATACATTGTTTCCAATTTTTGCCACGGGAATCAAACTATTCAGAAAACCATTACCAATTAATCTAAGCTTTCCAATAAATCTTCAATATGTAGTCAGTCAAAATTGCTAATTATCTTTTATAATTTACATATTAATCATTTACATGGGCAAAAGGTCAAGGGATCTCAGAAATATTGATGGGATGTTGGCTGATGTGACTGACAGAATATCACCTTTGGGAACGTATCTTGACTGCAAAAATCAATCATCTAGCTTAACTGATTTAGCAAAAAAAAAAATTAGACATGAAAGAAAGCAAAGATAAAATAACTCAGCACTGCAGAACTATAAAGTGACTTTTTTAAATCTTAATGGTTTTAGATGTAGATACATGTCTTGCGATTAGGTCATTTTAATTTACCCTTTTATGCTGGAACTACTTTGACAGACTTCCTACATAATGTACAACTAGATCAGAATTGAATTTCTGAACCTCATGAAGCAGGAGAGTTTGAATAAAAGGAGTTTTGTGAAGTAAGCTAAAGTGATGTCAGATAAAAGTGTGTCACAATATATATCACTGTACTTCTTCCTGTTTATGGATACTTTCTCTACTAATTTAATTGCTGTCACCCTCAGAGACCCTCTGGGGAGGTACATACTATATTTGATTTATTATCACATCTTAAAACAAATTCTCTGAAAAAAGAATGAATTTCATACTTCCCCAACAAGTTAACTTCTCATGTAAACAAGCTTTACCTGGAATCACATTACATTTTCTGTTTCTAATTTTCACACAGTGGATATAAATAACTTGATGGAAGAATTCTACCTTATTCTACAGATGGTAAAAATGCACTTTGCGGATTATGAGGATTACATTAGCTAATTGCTACATACCTATATACTTTTAAAAGGTTGTATGATAGACAGTTACAATGAATCCCTCCATAGTGGACTAGATTTTTTTGTTGTTGTTTATATAAAGTGGACATTTGCTAGAGAGTGTATATTATGCATCCATCTTGCTTGATGCAAACATGTGGTGCTACTGGCAGCAGACACTACACCCTCTCTGAGTCAATTATCTGGCACAAATGAATGAAAACATTTTGAAGAGAAACACTCACTTTCTTGCCTACTTAACAATGGTCATTTGTTTGGCAGAATGATAGAAGCATTGTGTCACATGTTTTCATGCACCCTTCATTATAAGACAGATGTGTAGTGAACATTAGGTCACATGACCGTGGTTTCCTGCAAGTGCCTTCATATGACTGGACATGAATGGCAAACAGAAGCAGTCTTTGGAGACACTTTCCTCTTCCATGGAGTATAGAAGGTACACAACAAACATCCGTTATTTGATTTGGACTCTATTGGTTCCTTCAAGCATCTGAATGAAGCACTTAATTGAGGTAGACTGGATTCAGTGCTTATTCTGTATGATTTTGGTGCGTGGATTTATCTTTTACATGCAGATGGAATTACTGGTCTGGATTGTCAAATGTTTGAGTTTTTAACCTTCTAACTGCATTACAGTTTGCTTTTAAGTGCACAAACATGATGCACTTTAATCAACATAGTAAAACAGAAATTTGGCATTTGAATGTCTCCTTAAGCGAGCTCTTGTTCTAAGTAACTTTTACATATGAAAAAAATAGAGCTTCTATTTAAGTTATCAACAGATAATGGAGATGCATGTGCCAATGGAAATGCAGAACTTCTACTAATAGGCTTTGAACGTACAGTACTTCTAATGACATTAACTGAGGGAACATGAGCCTGCCATTTCACATATAATCATAACAAAAGGCAACAGCTATTTATTTTTTAGAATTTTTGATAAGTGAAATGTAGATCTCACTATAAAATCCGCCAAGCGATATTTCTGGCATCATTTTTTTTTTTCTTAATATTGCTACTTTCCAATTTTATATCTGCACACTCTTAAAATGTAACTGATGCCAACCTCTTATTCACAATCTAAAACCAGGAGAAACTATTCAAATAAATTATAATGAAAGAGGTCTAGATATTATATCTAAAACATGTTTTTTAAAAGCATATCCTTTTTAAATCTGGAACTTCTACCCTTGGATTTTCTACAGATTCAAACAACATGATAAAAAATACTTGTTCTTTTGTTTTTAAACAGAGAGGTAAAGGAAGATCTGGAAGGCATTTATATTCAGATTTATTTTCAGTGATCTGTTCTACTTTCTGCTGTCATTAATCAAAATGAAACCATTAGCAATTCCAAGAGAAACAGAGATCTCTACTATTTCAGATACTGTTTTTCAATTAAATCAAATTAAATTAAGCATGATATCCATTCCTTATCATATTTTAGAATATTCATAGCAAATTACACACTTTTGCTTTCTTTATCAGAGCCAATGTTAAACCTCAACATTATTAGCTTACAAAAAGGTTTCAGTTCATAAATAGAACAAAAGTTCTTAAATGAAACTTACTGTGCTGGCAGTGAATCCCATTAAAACCCTCTGGACACTTGCAAACGTATCCTATGAATGTGTCACCTCGATATGCTTCACTAATTTCACATATCCCACCATTATGACATGGATTAGGAAGGCAAAGTCCTGAGAGATAAAAAGAGGATATACATTTATAACAACAATAATAATTTCAGTTATTTATATGCTTTCACTGAAGAAATTACATCCCATATGTAGATGGTTGTATTCCACTAACCCACTAGAATAAACCCTTTACTTTTTCAGATAACTTGACAGCACAGATTTTTATGAACAAGAAAAAAATATGAAGCATGTCAGTATTCATTAATGACAACATTATTTTTTAATGTAAGAGAAGACAGGAGACAGAAAAGGTACATCTTGCTCTCTTATTAAAGATAACAGGCGTTCTAACATTTATACCACTGAGGCAATATATATTAATCAAATGTGCCTATCATAGGGAGTGACACCTACAATATCCCTGAGTAATCCCTACATGGCAAGTTAGCAGCTAGAAGAGATTTTTGCTACGGTTTTGTGTGCCTTTCTGCATGTGTGACCATCTGAGAAGAGTAATTAGATTATTAACTAGTTATTCCTTTTTTTTTTAATTTAGTGCCTTTTTAGCATATCCATTTCAGACTGCTTTCAAGCAGTCAAAAAGTTCCTCTGACTCAAATTACTTTTTTCAACTGACCACATGCCATGAAATCTAAAATTTCAACAGTGAGATCTAATTTGCTGTTTGCTCTTATCAGTTAAAGACTGTTAGAGTGCTCTGGTAGTGATCTATATTTTTGTAAATGCAATAGATGTTAGTTTTATAATTATTATATAAGCCTCCAGGTAATAGCATATCTTCAGCTGAGTTCTAAAATTTATTCTTTTAATGGCACGTGTTAAAAGTTTTTGCCATCTTAGTATTTTCATCTGTAACAAACATTAGTGAAAATTACACTGAGAAAATATTAATTTACAAAAGATATGAATTAACAGAATGACATGGGATGTCAGAATACATTCCACAATTATAATTGCCCAGAGAGTTACAGCAGTTTAAGAAACTATCTATGTACACATTTCTATTACAACTTATGTCATTATCCTTACCTAGGTCACAATCCTAATTAAGTTATGCTTGTGCACATTGTTAAACATGAGACATCCCACTGAACTGAATAAATAAAACATGATATTCTGCAACTTCTTTTGAGAAGCATGCCCTTTTTTAATTTTCTAACACAGTGTTCCAATTTGGGGATTACTTACAGGTAGCCCCATATGATAATTATATCAGTGCTAACCGATTCCTAATCTTCCAAGAACAGTACATCTTTTAGTCATTGCTTTCTCATTTTGCTCCCTGATATCTCCATGTGGCTTGTTGAGCACATGTTCACCATACTTTCATTGATTTTCTTTAGGTTTTACATTTTCTCAAATCAGTCAACAGTACAGAGGCTTACAGGTCACTTAAGGAGCAAAATAGTAAATCACAGAATGGCTGAGGTTGGAAGGGACCTCAAGAGATCATCTAGCCCACCCCCCCGCTCAAGCAGGGACACCTAGAGCACAGGGCACAGGGTGGCATCCAGGCGGGTTTGGAAGATCTCCAGAGAAGGAGACTCCACAACCTCTCTGGGCAGCCTGTTCCAGGGCTGTCACCCTCACAGTAAAGAAGAAAATGTACTGGAACTAATAAACACTGATGATCTAACTTGCACTAGTTAACATTCTTTTTTAACTAGACACTGGTCAAACCTATCTGCATTATAAAAGAATAAATGACTCAAACTTAAAAAAAAATATACCTGTCCTAACAAATCTCCAGAGGACCATATACCACCATGACAGTTCAAGACATTTAGACTGTATGAACCTCCACACACATGTATGTTCTTATTCGAGTCTTGGTTATGATGATCCCTGATATGAAATTATATGGGCTTAAGTGCCCTGAAGAATCTAGGCCTTAACCTTGTAATCATTCCATTTTAAACATCAACACTACTGTAATGATAGACATGGACTTAAACACTGTGGTCAGATGATGAGAGGTCCCAAGCCACATCCATTATTATATTGAATGCTGGATAATTAATTCCCTGACAATCTGATTAATATTCTCTGTTACTCATATCTATACAGGCAAGTTCGAAAACATCCTTCATTATGAAAAAAATAACAAACTTGTCAACTAATTTAAAAAAAACACTTCAGGGGTTTGTTTTTCTAAATCAATAAGCAGTGTAATACTTTTGCAGGTAATCTTTAAGTAGTTTCAAGCACAAAGAGAACAGCAACATTTAATCAATATTAATGAGCAGTTGAATTCAATGGTATGCTTTCAAGGCATTTTTATCCATGTTCATATGAAGTAATGTCAATGAGATTAATTATGCACTGAAAGAAATACATCTATTCAGTTTATTGCTCTTTTGAGTCCTTTTTTATGCAGTTCCAGTAGTAATACCCAACAATAATATGCACAGGTATTCTCCAAAATACAGATATTTTTATTCACTTGAAATCCTATTTTTGGAAAAAAACAACAACAAAAACAACAAAACACCTGAAAGATAACTAAAAGCATAGCAGGTGCCAAAGTTTTTTTAGACGCTCTAAAATATCTGACAATTTTATTGATAGGGAAATCAAACAAATGCATCCTTAGTAGAACTGCAAAGTGGTTCAAGGCAGAAATACATTGTTTGCTTCTTTGACAAGTACAGTCAATTAAAACTTCATAAAAAAGTCTCGTATAATTCAATACTGAAGGGATAAATACGTACTTCAGAGAGAATCTATTAGTTTATATGTAGTTTGTATTTAACACACAAAGTAAAGCACTATTTCACCAATAAGAGACAATTTTTGATGGTGATTATTTTTGCAGAGAGTGATTTAGTCTATGTAGGAAAATTATGATATTTCATTCTGTACTTTTTTTTTAATAATACAAGTAAATGTTTTAATATGTTTCTACATTTTGTCCTCGACAGTTTAGAGGATTTCTCTTTGAGAATATTCCATCTTATTTTGTGCTGTTTCTTATGTGGTCTTCCTTTTTGGAGGAAGGGAAAAGCCTAGATGCATCACCATTTTAAAATCACATTTAATTCAAATGAGTAAAATACAGATTATTTTTTTTTCAATTATTTAGCAAGTGAACTATCTCTGCTACAGACTGGTTTTATCTACATTAGCAAGTAATGCAGTGCAACGGGAAGAGCCAGAACAGAGTGACTGGTGCTGAGGACCCAATGTCCACACAATGTACATCCCTCTTGAGAGTGGGGAGATGGAACTACTTTTGGCTAATCCTGTTGTGGTCCCACAGACTGAGCACTCTGAGTGGCAGGGGTACAGCAGATGCACTCTTGGAAGTCTTTTGATTTAGCCATATCTTGAAGAAATCCAGTTTGTATATCATGCAACAAGACTGCTAAGGGATTTACTACAAACCTTTAATCTCAAATGTTATGTTAGATGGCTGCAATATCTGTACATGGAACAGAAATAATTAGACTTTATGTTAGGTGCTGGAAAAATGAAGAGGGTGAATCTGTAGGTACCAGTACTGTTCAGTGTTACATGATATCTAGAAGCATTATTTGAATTCTGATACATATAGAGGGGAAAAGTACATTAAAACTCTCCACCAAGGTTTAATGTATCCACTCATTCAAGAAACGAGATTCTAAATACTGTCCCCCTAAGTGTCCAGGAAGCATTAAGGTTTAAAGAAAAAAAACAACCACAAACACCACCACCATCCACGCACAATGTTCCTAATTTGATGGATGTTCACAGTATGAGTCATGCAACAGTGCAGCCCTCCCATTCCTCACCTCACTGAGGTCAATAAGAGCCATTTGGAGCTCTAACACAAACATCATCAAGAACCACAGAGGCTGTCTGAAAGGGCAGGCTGCGCAGATGTTCAAGGACATAATGCACTAGATTCCATTAACTGCATTGGGTGGTGTTATCAAGAAGTCTACAGAAGCTTTACCAGATCTTTTTATAGGTTCTAGGGAATATGGATCTCGGTCTTAAGAAATATGACAAAAGCCAACTCGGAAGTACAATAGCAGTTGCACGCTGTTAGCTTAGCAAAACACAGGAAACCAGAAAGTAGTTGAGGTAGCAGTTATAAAGATCAACACTTTTGATACAAGATCTATCTATTCATCTCTTTACACAGAAATAATACAACTTAAATGGAAAATACTAAATTAGAAATTAAACTTGATATGCATCAAGATGAAGATACTATTAGCTATAAAACTAATTGCTTTTTTTTTGGTGGAATATTACTGAAGTAGCACTAATAGATAATGCTACTCTGATGAACCTCCCCAAAAATCAAAACAAATGAAGGAATTATCATTAACCTAATAAAATGGACAAAAGGGTTCTTTCACTGTAAGGGAAAATGTTCTGAATCAACAGCGCTATCTTTTAGCTCTATAGCAATGTCAATCATACTTGACATTACATTGACATACAATGTCAATCATACTCAAAATCAACGATGTGTTACCAGGACTTTAACCAACTAGATCTCTATTACTCTTTGATGAACCCTGTCCAGCACCAAAAAGTAAAAGCATTTACTCACAGCAGGAAGGAGGAAAGGAAGACACTGAAAATTTGATTACCTCGTTTCTCAGTTTAAGGAAAAATAAAAACAAACAAACAAAAAACAAAACAACACTTTCATATTTCCTAAATATGGAGCTGAGGGTACTTTCCTACCTTACCCCACAAATAATTATGAAAACAAACAAGATTTTTAAAAACTGAAATCATTAATTTATCAACAAATTAAAATAAACTAGGATAGTGGAAACACTATCTTAATCCTTAATCATCTTATAATTAATCAACTTATAATGATCTTAATCATTTTAAGTGTATTGCTTAACATCAATGGCAGATTCAGTAAATTATTCTATGAACAATTTTATTCCTCACGAATCTACAATTTCACCATAAAATTGACGGAAAATTCTACTTACAACTAAAATGAAATTGCATGTTAGCTTTAAATATAGAGATTAGCAATATTTAGTATTTATATCTGGCAAATATACACTAATCTGTTGCTATATTATTTTTGTGAGTCCATAAACGGAAACCCAACCCACAGCAAAACTCTTTTTCACCAGCATAAGAATGCAATTTCCACTCTGTCACACTTACAAGCTACAGAGTAGGTGTTGGTTTCGCTTTGCCGTTTCAGTATGCTACTTCTAGAACATAGCCAGTATGTGAGCACTGGGACACTGCACCAAGGAAGGACTTGTGATTCAGAAACCTGTATGATAAACTACCCCTTTCACGATGAAGCTAGCTCATCAAGCCCAGGGACAGCCCAAGTGCAGTTCAGAGCAGAAGTAATATTTCTTCCTAATATTACACTAGTCCAAAACAGACTATAATATTCACCTTGTATAGATGTCAATGAAAAAAAAACTGCAAAAGAAAAAGAAAACACCACAATAACTATAACCATCCAGAGGAAATATAATAGGTTATCTCTTAAGAAATACCCAGGCTGTATCCAATAAATAATCGTTGAAATATCTATCAGTTAAAATATTTCATAACTATTTTTGTCTTTTTTCTTTTTTTTCCCTTTGGACACAATGACTGATGTATTAATTTTTAATAAATTTTAATAATTTAATTATATCCAATTATTTTTTTAACTTAAATTCATAGTTTATTATTCTGCCAATAGAGTTCAAGGCATACAATTAAAAAATATACCAAGGTACTAAAACACGTGCTTTAACAGGTTTTACTTCTTGGACACAAGAAACCTGGGGGAAAACCTGATCTGATTAGCAGGTAAACCATGGGGTCTTCATAAGTGAATAGAATAGGAAGCAATTTTGACTACAGAGTGATTACTGAACACCATACTCATACAGGAAGGTACCACTCTGAGCCAAGTTTCAGGAGAAATCTTAACTTCTTAGTTATTCTCTATTTTTTCTGACTTTTCTGTTACCATTAAGTGCTATCCCCTAGTACATTTTCCTTCCTTGAACTGTTTCTTACCATTCTAAACCTTCACCCTTTCATTTGTTCTTCTGAACTAAACTTCATGCTAGAAGCAGCAAACCTGCTAATACAAGCCTCTTTCTCCAGTAAAAAAAAAAAAAAAAAAAAAAAAAAAAAAGCTTGGTAGCTTGGTAGCTGACAGAACTTTGATTTTGGCCTATACAAGTTCCTCTATTCCATGAATAACATATCCAAATGAAATCACTGTAAAAGACTGCAAATTACTGCATTAGGCATTGGATGCAGTATCTTTTTTTTTTGTGGGTTGGTTTTTTTTTTTTTTTTGCTGCAGGCCCATTTTGATTTTGACTTCCACGGATTGTGTATATTATGATTAAAATTTACACAGTGCTTCTAAGTTTCAGTATCACTGCAAGCTTTTCTAAGCTGCAATCTAGCAAACAGATGCTTAAAAACAAATGCTTGAAAAATAATAAGCCATTCATTTAAAGAGTTTTCACATGCTATGTACTTAACTGCTTTTGCTAATGAAGATCTAAAACAAGATATGTACACTTGTCCAGAAAATGCTTTCTCCATTTCATACAATTTCTAAAATAGTATATCTATATTTGCATATAGCCTTTGTTCATAGTCACTTTTTTTTTGTAAATATACATATAATATCAGGTTGTACTCTGTTAACTCTGTTTAAGAACAAATCTTAAAGCAGAGACTGGAATTGCTTTTCCAAAGGTAGGTGACTACTGACTTTGAGCATTTTGAAAGGTTTTTCAAAAATAATTCCCAACAGAATCTAATCGTGAAATATCTAGGTCCTAGAACCAAATAAAATAATAAAAAGTGCTATCTTAATATTACATTAATTCACCATACTTCTTGAGCAGGTATTTAGTCATGCTTCCCTGTAACATTTATGAGCAATTGAGATTTATTGTCACAAATTGTAATAAATATGTATTTTGTCTCATATTCTAGATCTACCATATTTGTAAGAGGTTTCAGTCAACAGGGACTGTTGATCTGTCTGTGGAGCAGTATCTATCTGCACTGATCTGTCGATATAACTCTTACATATACTGTAATTATGAATAGCACCTTTTTGTCGCATAAGTAACGCAGAAAGAGATTGTTGGCATTTCTACTGATATCCACACAGAAAGTTACATTTGTATAGCGATTACACAAGAAATACTGGCAGACATTTTTGGATCACAACAAACACAGTGAACTATAAAAGTACAAAAAAAACAGCCAAAATTGCATTCAGATCACACTAACAACCACCTGTTTTGAATTGGAAACATGCATGATCAAGGCTTTAAGAAAAATATTTGAAAAATCCTCATGTAAAAAATGTCATTACTAATGGGTGAATTCAAGAAGATTGTGAAGGTTTAGTAATACTCTGTGACAGAACAATACTCAAAAGACATTACTTGCAAATTATTAGCTCAGCTTTGTCAAACACAAGATTTATGGGGGAAATAACCAAAGTAGGCTTACAGGATACATTAGGGAAAGGTTGAAGTGCTTAAAAAAAAAACTTAACAACAACAAACCCCACTTATATCACTAAAAGCAAACAACAAGCTCTATTGTCTGGCATTCTAGAAGGCAAATATTCCTGAGGAGCTGAATATAGAATTTGTAGGGCTTTTGTGAAGCTCCAGCCAGCAAGTTTAGCAGAGAGATATGCCACTGCCTCCAAAATATCATTACCTTCCTGTTTTCAGTTGATATATCTGGTTAGTTTGACCAGCCTGTGAATATGGAGCTTCACAAAGACTGCAGTAGTGTTCCAAACTCAGAGAGAGATGCTGTCTTTGAAGATATGTTCCATTGGTTGCAACTGGAAAAAGTGTTTTGCAATGTACATTTTTTGCAAGATCGTTTTGGTCATTACTGCTGGGCATTCAAATTCTCCTCAAAACACTATCTGCACCCAAAAAGTTAAATTTAACAACTTACAGATCTTCTTTTGTAACTTGACTCTTCTTCTGAAGAGCTGCAGTAGCTTTTTAATAATACATATATATATATATATTTCCATGAAAATTTTAACACTGACATATGTCCCAGTAAACAGATAGTTGGAAGCTGATATTTAATAATGATAATACATGTTCTTCAAGGGTATGTTGGTACTGTCAGGTTCTTGCTCAAATTTCCCCTTTCTTCTCCATCTGCAGTGTTTTTCAGTTTATACAGCTTAATGCCACTTTAAATATGTTAAGCTGGTTAGCAGCATTCATCTTTGGCATGCCTTTTTTTAATACTCCCAAGCTAATGGATTGCCAATTAATTAGAAATAGCTAATCTTAGCAACAGAATAAAAAATTCACATGTTTATCTCTAATAGAGCTTCTAAACTAATTTTTATGACTATGCTGTTAACTGTTCTCACTACTTGGAAGTCTGTCAATGGAAATAAAAGTTCTTTGAGCAGATATTCAGGACATGGTTTGCTGAATGTTTACTTTAAGCAGGATGCTCTTTCATCCTCTGTCCTTCCTTTTCTTTGCTGCTTGCTCCAAGCTGTCTTTAAGCATGTCAGTCCTGGGATGATATAGTTGAGCAACATCAGCACAAAGTCAGATTACAAATAAGCAAAAAAAATGATTGTTTTGGACTCATGATAGTTTCTGACCTGTTTCTGTGTGGGGAGTCCCACGTACCAATTTGGCAATAAAGAAGCACAAAGGAAGGAGCAAGTGGCAGAGAAGACTGAGGTTCTTTTATTAGGAATGCTAAAAGTATATATCCCAAGGTCTCCAGAATCAAGGAAAAACAAAAAGTAAAATAAATAAAAAAAAAACACTGAAATGAAGGGGAGCAAGCAGAAAGAAGGGAGGGGAACAACAAATAAAACCCTACATTGATCTGGACATATAGTAGGTGTTATGCACAAGGACAACTGTTTAGAAAAACAAAAATAAAAACCCTAGCCATTAAAATGGTTACCAAAATGAAGATGCAGGTGTAATCATAAATTACTCGTACCTGCTGAAGTTGGTTCCTCTTCATCTGAGGCTGCACAAAGGAGAGAAGGAAGAGAGTAAGGGAGGAGAGAGAGAGAAAAAAAATGAAGAAATCCAAATAGTGCTGTCATAATTACTTGCATTTTCTTAATATGTGAAATGAACAAAAACATGAAAAGCTAGTTTATTTTATAAAGTTTGAATCAACTTCAGTAATATCAGATATTGTCTCTGAGATAAAAGCATGTGTGTGCCTCCCCAATCCAAATTTTGTCTGAAGAAAGCAATAAGAATATGTATCTGCATACTAGGATCTTTCCTTTTTTAGTGTAGATAACCATTAAATTGCCTTAAGTTACCATCCGATTGCACCTTAGGCTGTAGACTGTATCTATTCCCTGCATATTCAACAAAAAGCAATTAGGTAAGCATGTTCTCAGTAAAGTTATTTTAAAAGTATATCAGTGACCTAGTTCTTTCTCTCCTTGCAGTCAGAATGCTTATATACACATTCACTGCAAAAACAGCCTTCTTAACAGTTTTGAAAAGTTCTCAACAAAAGAGAAAGCAGCAATTAAGTGCTTATCACCTGGATACTCTGAAACATCTAGAAGTCTGCGAGGACGCTCCATCTATGTGATAAGAACCCTCTTAAGACACTGAAGACATTTATTCATATACTTTTTATTTTTTTCTTTTAATCAATCTCCTCCATCACTTGACATCCAAGCATAATCCATTTGATTTCTTGCAAAATCAGTTCTAGATACACACTTTTCTAAAGGAGTCCTCTTTGCTGCCTGAAAACACAGCCCATTTATTTGGGGCTTGACAGTCTGAAGGGCTCAAAGCTCATAATGTCTCTTACAATGTTAACCCACCATGGTGCTTTTAAAATTTGCACTTGGCAGGGACAAGGATTTCAAACATTTCTTCAAAGATCAGTATCACACCTGGTAAACTGGCCTGTTGGCCTTCAGTATCAACCCACATATTAAGAGAGAAGGTGCAGAAAAAAAACTTTTCTCATTTTAGTGAAACTTCGAGGCATAACAGAGGTCCCATAATTGTGAGTATCTTCTCAACAGACATGAACTAAATTCAATAGTAACTATAAATAGCTTGGTTAATTTAATAAATTTTTCTGTATGCAACTATCACTCTGAACATATCTTCACTACTAATTGCAAAGCAGCATCGTGTTCTGTTAGGGATTATCCAAACCAACTGACAGAAAATAATGACTTTCTAAATGAAGCACCAGCGAACTATCTCACCTCTCACTAGTTTTCTGAGGTAAATAGATGAATAAAAATATTTTTATTTATACAAATTAGTGTTCAACTAAACACCTAAGAAGGATGAATGACAAGACCAGTTATGATATGTATAACCTGTCCTAAAGAAGATATTTGATAGTATATTCCTTAACTTCACATCAATAGCAAAATATTCCACAGCAGCATAAATTAATCTCACAGAAAGAAACAGACTCTTAAACCTTAAGAGCAACAGAACCAGAAGTAAACAAACTGATTAGGAATTCAGCCCAAACTACATATGTTGCAATTTCTCAAGCTATCAGTGGCAGAGAAGAAAACTAGACAAGCTGAACCGAACATGAAAGTTAGTTAGAAGTTCAGTTATTAAATTATGTAAATGCCCAAAATCTCTATTAACTGCAAGCTTGTGGGAAACTTTTGCTTGAGCAATGGATAAATAAAAATATGTGACTATGTGTGACTACATAGGCATATTAAAATTAAACATTATTCAATTATACAAAATATATTCAAAATCCATTCCATTAACATTTGTAGAATTAATTTGTAGAACACTAGCATTGGCAGTTCAAAACTGGATTCTGATATTACTCTGAAGGATGTTTCAACAGTACCATTTTGTACTTATATAAACATCTAAATAAAATAGGATAACTGAATCTCAGTTGAAATAAGCCATTCAGATGCTAAGATAGTTATGCTGGTAACATTACATCTCTGCTTATTTTGTTATCTTCAATTATTTGTTTTTTTGTCTGTATTATTTAGACTAGTATTCTCTCAGAAAGGGACTATGTTTGTTTCTATTTCTGCAGAGATGAATTCTCTTATATATAACCATAACAACTGATCCTTTGTAGTCTCACATTTTTTCCAGAAAACAAGCGCAAGACAATGAAAGTCTTTGTCTTTAAAATCAGTAATGCAAAGGAAGACAATAAGATCACATGTACTATATTGTTTGTACCTACTAAAAACAAAGACCACCAGTGGTACCATTAGTGAGATTAGAACGACTGAATGTATCTTGTCAGAGATCAAAACATCTAAATTCAAAAACTTGACTGGCTGAATATAGTACTAATAGACAGGTGTCACTCTGAAAAACTAACTCACCTTCCTCACTGCAGTACAATAGCATGCTATGATCTATGACAGCAGAAGTTTACAACTGCTGTTGTAAAAGCCTAAAAGACCTAGGTCTAGTTATCAACATATGAAGTCATAGGTGTGAACTTGTTTGTACTTCATGCATAAATTTATTTATTATTAAATGAACTTAATTTTTCACTATCTGTAGCAAGATTTCTTTACTCCCACACAGCTTGACAAACCACATTTAAAGAACAGCCTTTTATCAGCCACAGAATACTAGAAGACTACTTGATTTTTTGCTTCATCATTATCATCCTGTCTCAGTTGGAATGCCAGCACTCGGCTCTCCAATAGTTCAGTAAATTCACTAAACTATCACACTGAAAAACCCACACACAACACTTTCTCACTTTCTACCAGCAGCGATTTAAATCTTAAAGTTAGTTTAGAAAGCTATTTATAGAGTGACTCATATCCATAGTTATTAGCTGTAAATTACTTATTTCAAGGTGGCGGAGAGAGAATAAGCTGGAATCACCTTGCTCCAGCAAGCTGGCATGGTCTGCTGCCTGCCTCTGCCTGGCTGTGGACCAGAACAACCTGCCCAGCCTCCCTCCTCAGGCCTCAAGGGACAAGGCTGCATCCCAGAGCCAGGTATTTGACAAAGACATCCCCCAAGAGCTGGCATGGCCATCCTAAAGTCATGGCCTGATAACAATATTGTATGACCCTAGTCTGCAGTTTTAAAGTCTTTTCAAGCATGTGTTTCTTCCCCGTGTAATGCATCATTGACAAAATATATTAAGACATATGGCAGCACAGCCATGAGCTTTTATTTTCTTAGAAAAAAATCTGATGCACATTTGGGATAACTCAATCATATTTTCATCAGAGGTAATATTGAAAGTTAAAGGCATACTAGAGAAGGAAAAAAAAAAGAGACATGGATATGGAAAGCATATACAAGGATATACATCCTGCAGCACATATCACACTATTTGTGAAAAAGCAGTGTTCAGAGAGTATACAAGTCAAGCTTCACAGTATTCCTCATAAAGTAGTATATGGGAGAGAGCATATGACTTGAGAAATCCAGAAAAAATAAATTTTAAAGTACAGCAAAAGTAAAGTTGAAGGGGGCAGAACCACTATAATGTTATATGAGTTTTTGTTTATAGTAATACTTGTGTTAATCTCAGAGTGATATGAAAAATGTTTGTCCTAAGCATTCAAATAAAAGGTAAGGGTCATATATATATAAAAAAATGAACTTTTGATGGTTTTGACTACATTATCTCTATGTAACAGACCACGCAGGAAGAGTTCTGCTAAATGATCCAAATGAATCACCTTGTGAGTAGTAAGAGTACAAGAATATGAAACAACATTTTCTGACTTTGGGTTAAGAGAAGTGAAAAAGAAATGATACTCAGTACTAAATCTCAGGTATCAAAGGAACTACTATGGCTTACTGGCTTCCAGTGAACTCAGCATCAATAGTTAAGACTGCAGTTTTAATGATACAGATGTTTCCTTGAAAACACCAGCTTAAGAAGTTTGTCTCCTTCTTAGTCTATTGACTTGAGTTCATTTTTCCTAGCTGCCTCAACCCTCTTCTCCAGTTCACAGGATGCTGCTGCAGGCATGACTAATGAGGCAGGGTATCATCAAGCAGAGGACTAATCATGACAAGCAGAGTTTCCACCAAAACTCTGTATCATCGAACCACAGCCTTTCTCTGTTCCACACTGCCTGTGATGTTATTCCGGATGGGCTCGGGATTCGGCAATAATCAGCCAGAAGGAGGTGACTACATCAAGCATTTATTCAGGTGAAAGCACATAAAAGAAGCAAAGTATGGATAACTACTCA